TGCGCTCCTCCTGCCCGCGGGGCCGCCCACCCCGGCTCGCGGTGCCCTTTCCGTCGGAAGAAGCAAAAGTAAAACCCAGCCGGTCACTTACAGTGGGAAAAAAATAAAAATCATTTAAAAGTAAGGGCATGAGTGACAAAGAAGTCCCAAATGATTTTGTCAAAACAGAACGAACTCGCCCCGCAGGCTGCAGCGCGCTCGGCGGAAACGCGGTTTGAGTGGCCGCCGCCGCCCAAGCGCTAACGACGGCTTCGGCCCCTTCCCGCAAGTCGCTCTATACGTCGTGGGCAATTCTTATTGACTGGGAAGGCGATATGCTGCCAAGTAACAACTGGAACTTAAACAAACGAACACCACCCCCTCCAAAGCCAGCCGGCGCAGAGCTGCTGGGTCCCACGCGCGGACTCGCGGGCGCCAAGCGGGGTCTGGGAAAGTCACTGACCCTCCGTGGGGGCCGCGCTCAGGTACCCTGCTCCGCCCGTGGGAAATACAGCGCGGAAAGAAAGTCGAAGACTTTCACGCTGAAATGCTGGGGTCTCCGCTCCCCGCGAAGATGAGCCGGGAAGCATGGCAGGGGCTCCGCGGGTGACACGGACCCTCAGCCGCGTCCACGAGCTCGGGGCCTCGCAGGCCGTCTCAGAACCTGTTTTGTGCCATTCATTGCTTTTCTAGTACTATAAGAAAGAACACACAGAAGATTCGGTTTTCCACGGTAAACCGAAATCGTAAAAGCAGAAGGTCCTTCCAATTAAAACAAAACAAAGAACCCCGTGTTCCTTTTTTCTCCTCGTGGCATTGTTACAGAATTACAATGTCCCCAATGAAGCACGTCAGTTTCCCGAACTCCTCCTGCAAAACGACCGGGTGCAAAAGTGTGAATGATAATATGTCTATTTTAGAGACGGGGGGAAAACGACATGGTTTGTTCTATCTGCCCAGCGAAATATGCCAGGGAAGGAGTTACTTTCAGATTGAAATCGGAGGCGGTGAAGTCTTCATCCCGCAGGACTGTTTTCCCAGTCGCCCCTGGAGGAGAGGAGGGGGAGGGCGGCTGGGAGGACTGACACTGGGACATCAGCCGGGAAGGCTCCCGGATGCCGAGAAACTTCCTAACTTGTGTTCACAGACACTGCCCGACTCGGACTGGAGTTCCCTCCACCGTTTCAATAAAACATGACTGTATTGATATAATCCTCTATACATTAAAATGAGGTTGTCACAGATTGTCATTAAGACCTCAGTAAAACAATGAAGACATTATTGGGCACCCCCCCTCAGGCAAGGTATTAGGGGAATAAAGCAATCTACACCACACGGGTCCTATTGAGATTAATGAAAAAATTATGCAAAAAAAAATCTCAATTTCATTTTCCCGTGACGGGGCTTTGCATACATACAGTCAGTCTTGCCTTGCACCTGATGATTTATTAAACTAATCTACAGCGATCACCACTGATGTTCTCGACTCAATCTTGTCCCGGCTCATTTTCTAAGTAATTGTTTCTCATTAGTTCTGATAATGTTTTAATAGTGTTACCCATAATTTAGACCCCAAGAATTAATAACAGGGGGGTGATATGGCTAAGCGGCTTGTGATGAGCTACACAAAATATAAACAGGTATGGTTTCTAATTAGTCAGATTAGCTGCAAGGTCCTCTTCTTGTCACCCATGCCTGGCTCAGGAGCCGGACAGCTGTCACTTCCCCATGTCGGGGGTGCCCGGTGAGCTCAGTGGAGATCACTCACCCACCCTTGGCTGCTCTCCCACCTTTCCCAGGGCACCTGGGCCCACCCATGGCACCACAGAGATGCGGGTGGGGAAAGAGGGGGAATACCCTTTGCCTTCCAGCATCTTCTTCCTGGAGTTTTGTTCTTCAAGGACTAAGGCACCATGGATTTCTGATCAGGACTGAACTCTCTTCTGGGACCCTCGTCGTTTGGGTCTCTGTTCAGGGAATGGGACTTTGGTCCAGATTTGTGACTCTCATAGGTCCTAGTCTCATGATCCTACCCTAATAGGGACCATGGATTATGAGGAAGATAATAAACTGGACATTTGGGGAGACTGAAACAAGGTGGTTTTGTTTGAACAAAGCAGTTTGGGATGAGGGCAGGGGCGTGGCGAGCAGTCCGACGTGGTTGGGACCTAGGAACCCGTGGCCTGGGAGTGGCCAGCAGCGGGAGATCTAGCCAGTCAGGCCTCGGTACCACCCAGGGACCTTGCGGAGGGGCCTGCTTTTCCCCAGGTCTTAGGGCTCCTTGGCTGGGGAGGTCTTGAGGAGGCTCCTCTGTGTGGGGCTGGCGGGCTGCCTGTGGGGCCAGGGTGCGACTAGAATGCAAGCCCTTCATCGCCTCAAGCCAAGGGCTTCTTTGGATTAGGCTGGAGGATGGGAAGGGTAGTTAGATTGGGGTGAGGGCTGCCCATAGGAAGGACGAGGTGGGGTTTGTTTTCTTCTTTTGCTTAGGACCAGCCCTGCCTCTACGGTTTCTAACACCCTCAGCAGGTGTGTATGGCAGGGGCAGAGTGAGAGAGGCCTTCCTTAGTCTTCCCACTGCCAAGCCATCCTCCCATGCCTCTGCGTTCTGAGCAGAGGGGCAGCCTGGTGTGCGCAGCGTGGTCCTGGGTTACCTGGTGCGCACCTGACTCCAGGAGTCCTATCCTGGGTGGGTCCCAGCTGCAACAGTGGGTGCTGTGGGTGCTCCTCCAGGAACTGCTGCTGCTGCCCCGTCTGGGGTCTGGAAGCAATGTGGCTAGAGGCCGTTCCGCTCTCACGTTGGTAAGAGGCCATCTTCCTCTTTCCCGCCTCTAAGTGAGGATGGCGCTAGCTCCCACCTTCCTTTCTGGCCACTCTGGGGCAGCACAGGGCAGCCAGGCTGGAGGGTGG